TCTTCTGTGCCGCAGCTTTGCTGCGGCTGTCCACTTGTTTTTTTAATGATATATGTAATTTTTTATGTATGCTGGACGCCCATCTGGAACCAAGCTGTCTTCTCGTCATATGGGGAACAGCTTCCATGGCTTTTTTTTCCGCAATGATATATGTATGCTGGACACCCAGCTGGAACCTCCCACGGCTATAGGTAGGAGCCAATCCCTAACACCACCTCTGCTCAGTATGGGGAGCAGTACCCAGGCCTCCCGAACACCCGGCGCGAGCTGGAAAAGATGACCCCAGTTCCACAGGCAGCCAGGAGGACCAAGCCGACTATCTCCGCTAGTGAGGCCTAAGCTTGCCACAGGGGAATGGGGGAGCTGAAAGGACAACGTGGGGAATCGATCCCACGACCTCCTGAATGCCACTTACGTGCTCAACCAACTGGGCTAGGCCGCTTGGCCCCCCTGTATGAAACTCAAAAACTTAACAAACAGGAAAAAGTTCCGAGAAACTAATGATGCCAAGAGAAATAAGTTCAAATAACCAATTAACAAAAACTAAACTWMWAAAAAAAAAAAAAAAAAAAAAAAAAAAAACCCTTAAAAAAGGCACWACCCTGCTAAGACACGCCTTCCAAATCATTCAAGTTCTTCCCCCCCCTCCTCATCTGAACCCGCTCTACAGGCAGTGGCATAGAGATCGCTCCCTCGTCTAATCATCCGAGTTTTTTTTTTTTTTTTTAATAATAAACAGGTCCTTATGGTCCTGGGTCGATATCCATTCCGGAGAGCGTCAGTCCGGTTCCTATTCCCCCGCAAGTCAAAGTAGCAGTATTACATCATATGCCCGCTCACACATCCTTCCGTCTGGCCAAAGGATCCCTGATCAGCATTGATTCCTCCACTTGGTGGAGGATAGACTGTCAGCTTGCCTTTATGAAGACTCTGCGATTCCTCTCAGAGTCTTCATCAGAGACCTTGTCAGGTAAACTAAAACGCAAGAAACACAGACAGAAGAACTGCTGTAACTCTTGAGTGCCTCAACCAGGTTGTTTGTAAGTGTGCCCATGGTCATATGTCAGTGTTATGTAGCTCTGAAGTCTTGAGGCTGTGGGAGGTGATTGCCCCGTGCTCTCTAAGCGGGCAGGAGTTGTGCCAGTCTTTCCATCTGAGAGAAGGATTCTGACAAACTCATCGCTTCCAGTCTAAAATTCTAAATAAAGTCTAATAAACCAGATGGCGAATATCTGCAGCAACATTCCTCAACACAACACACCAACGGAGAGAGACAATGACCACCTCTAACCTTTTCATTTCGCCGTTTCACACATATTCCAAAGAATAGCCAGCCCGTATAGGTTCTTGCTTGAGGTAGATAAGTTGAAGCAGCAGATGACTGCGACAGTGCGATGTGCATGCATGGCAATTCACACTTAAATTCTGAGCACAAGCAGGTCTTACGCAGCTCGCAAGAACCAATTCCCCCCAAAGACGACGGATGTTGTGCTTCGACACAAAAAGAGGACACGACAACGCATTGGAGGACTACCTTTAGAGAACCAAAGAGTGCAAAAGGTTAAGCACTTACAGGTGCCCCCCGACGCCACGTTGCGGCCGACACGACAACACATCGACGAACCACCTCGAGAGAACCAAAGACTGCAAAAGGTCGAGGACACACTGGCGCTCTCCGATGCCACATTGCGGCGGGAGCCGATCAACCAGCCTCCGGAGGGGGATCACTGATCAAGGTGAGAGGGTTTGAGGTGTTTGCTGCAGTTGCCACATATACTTTTACTGTTCCTTCGAGTACCGTTTCCCACGACCTTCCTATCCTCTTAAATAGCCAGTACCTCTCACAGACAAAGGTTTTCAATGACTTGTATACAATGGTATTTGCAACCATAATTTTCAGATGAGCAGTGCTACTGGACCTCAATGGCTGCTGGTGCCAGGCCAAAAGACAAGAAAATGTTTCCATGCTGGTTCATTTTCCTTTGACGCACAGGTGAAATCCATGTCATGAAAAAGAGGCTCAGAGCCCTAGCCTAACCAAGGGTCCGCCGATAATAATGGCTCCGACGCTCGACGACTCCATCGGGGCGGGGTGGGGGTGGGGGGGGGGCGGGCAGCACGTGCTGGGAACCAGCCCAGCGCCCCTTTACGTGAAACAAAACCGTAAACTTTGCAGCATATCAGAAACAGGGTGAGAGGGGGGGGAGGAGAAAGTGTGAGAGGCATTGATTACTTCTGAGAAACAGAACGGATTGACCTCCCCCTCCCCCAACCCCCCCCACCAAAAAAAAACAAGAAAAGGTTAAAAAAACGATAGGCTCCGCACCCACTATTGAGATGTATCCTCTTTTGCAGGAACAAGGGGAACCCTATCTTCATCCCCTTAAACCACCAGTTCACACTAACCTAAGTAGCACTCTTACCGGTATGTGCAGTCAGAGCATTTCGATTCCGGCCTGGGCCGGTAGCGAAAGCAGCAGGCCACTTTGAAAAGGCACAGTTGCAGGCTCATGAGCCTTGGAAGGTACCTTCTTCCGCCGAATACAACACATGGTCATTTTAGATGTATTTGGGGTATCTTTCAGTCTAAATACAGCTGTAATGACCGTACGTTGTATACGGGGGAAGAAGGTAGCTTCGTCAACTTAAGCTCGTGTCAATTGATGGTTTAACAGGGGCCAGAAGTACCTTCACTCAGCAACACCCCCCCCCCCCCCCTCCCCCCCTCCCCCTTTGTCCTCCAAAATGGACAAAAGTTGGACTGATTGCAGTCTCAAAAGGTATCCCCCCAACATGCTGAAATACTTCTTCTTCTCTGTACTTTCAACGTATGTCTGTCCCTAAAGAACCCCTTTGTCACGTTTGCGCCCTCCATACAAATTTGGTGAAAGTGCGCCCCCCCCCCCCAACATCCTGCACTTTTCTCTCCTTGCTATACACGACCTTTGGCAACATACAACATACAACGGCGTGATCGAACGGCAAAGGGGGGAAGCGGAAATGAAAACGGAAAGCAAAACGAAAGGAAAAAGGCCTTCATTTGAGGCAGGCTTGCCATAAAAGAGAAAAAAGAAAATGCCACAACAGACAATCTGTACTGAATGATGCAGTTGCAATAAGGAAGAGACAATAAATGATCCATATGCAGGGGAGCAGCAGCAAGCACTACTGCAGGAGGAGGTTAAGGAGTTTCTAGAGGATGAAGATGTCGTCAATGACGGAGAGAATGGAATTCCATTCGATTTCAAGAGCCTTCGGCATGTGAGAGAAGTTCTGCTCGAGTGCAAGGTCAGTTCAGCATCTGGCGTCATTTATAACGAACAAATAACTTGAAATAAGTAGTAAAAACACCCACCGGCCACTGAGGGTGGCTTTATTAAAGTGTGCCTTATGATCTAATTTTGTTATCGCAGCATGGTATTGGGGATGATGTCCAGCACCCACCGACCACCAAGGCTCCTCAAGGACATTCGGCACTACTGTCTTCACCTGAATACAACATACCCTCATCATGAATGTATACAAGCTAGGCGACCAGCAGGGGCGCCCGGGTCAACTGGTTTGCACGGCTGCCCGGCCGTCCAAGGATCATAGGTCCCAGCCAAAAAAAAAAAAAAAAAAAAAAAAAAAAGTTTAAAAAACTGAAAAAAAAAATGTTTTGCA